TGCTGATGAAGAATGTGAAATGTACTGTGAACTACCAGAAGAATGAGCAAATCTTCCTGGAAAAGTACAGCCAGAATGCCCTTCATTCGTGTGGAGGGGTCAATTCTGTCTCCCATACTTTGGACCACTCCCTAGAGGACACCATGCTTGGGAAATTAGCATGTCAGCAAAAAGAGAAAGACCTATAATAATAGAGATTTGTCGTTGTCACTTCAGCAGTGGTCTCCAGCATAGCCGTGATTGTGAGGATGCTGCTGGACCAGACAGCTTCCTTTTGGTGTAGATGTCATTCTGTTTGAGTCGGAACTGACTGACCAGCAGATAAGCCTGAACTAGCAATGTGCCCAAATACATGTATATTTTGTGTAACTTTTTGCTGCTAACAATAATAGTTTTATTGATGTCACTCTTTTTTATCCTTCCTATAAGTTGCATGGCCCAGTGAAAATGTGTGGAACCTAGTGGTTTTTAACTATGGGAAATCGCCTTGGATGTAATCCAATAAGTTTTAAATGTAGTAACACTTGAACAACCCGAACCAAATAATTCAAGTTACCTATAAATTTATTTTACTCCTATAATGTTTTCAGTTTACCAAATGGGTATGTGTATTGTCTTATCTGTAGGACACCTCATATGAACTTCTTGAGTGTACCTCAGTTACTTTGCTTGCTTGGTTATATTTCTAAGTCCACCCTCTATCCCCTCAATTTGCTTTCGTCTTCACATGAGCCCTCAGAAGCCAAGGTGCCCAAGAAAGAGGATGGTGGCTGTTAAGAAATGGTACTTTTTCCAGTCTGCTCTAGAAAAGTGGACCCTGTTCTAGATTTTTTACCCCCAGGGGGGTGAGGGAAGTTTTTTTTGGAGAAAGTTGGAATTAAGTTAACCTAGTTTTATTTAAACTGTTAGAAGGATCTCATTTATGATGAAAGATGGTATCCATGAGGATCATCTTTTTTTTAGGAGAAGGCTACTTCTGGTTTTATGAATTTGGAAGAATGATGTTGAGATTGTTACATCTTTTTTGATTTTGTGTGCTGGATGCTTTATAAATAAATCAAGAGAATCTTATTACTTAAGACAGGTGTTTTTATTACAATACTAGCGTTAGCATCAAATGATAAACTTAATTTGAAAAATGAAAATGAAAAGTGGACAGTGTTGAAATTCTGTTTTAATTAGTAACTGAATTTATAGTAATCTACTGTAAATTTACATATTTACATAATTTTTAGATTGTTTTTCTTGTTTCATAAACACATAGATATGAGTTTGCAACTTCAGATAACAACACTGTCTTGAATTACTGATGACTATACTGTTCCATCATTCTTTAATTGATTGATATCATGATACTCTCATTTCACTTAATTACTTTTTAATCAATTTCTTGAGCAACTTCATGCCTTACAATTATTTTCTTCTGCGATTTCTGTGAAGTGTTATTTCCATTTTAAAAAATGAAAATTTAGGTAATAGAGAATACAAGTCATTCAGGAAATTCTGGGCAAAGGAACAAATAAGAAGGTTCACTTGTGGGTCTGCCCAGAATACCCAGATTTGGACATTTCCCCTGTGTAAGCAGCATAGGAGAGTCATTGCGCTCAAAGGGTAGATGCCACCTGCTAAGGCTACAGGTTACATGGGCTTTTCAAGACTCAGACCTTAGGTAGTGATTGGTTAAACAGCACAAAGTAAGGTGTTTCTTCATTACTTTTTCTGAAGATTCAGTACAATTCTTGGTTTCATATTTAATAATTAGTCTTACCTTCTCATGAGTTGAATGGGTGGTTTGGAATTTAGTGACATTCAGGACCAGGGGACTGTTTAATCAGCTGAAAGCAACATTTCCCCAAAACTTTGCTGATTTTCATTTAAACTAATTTGTATGAAATCCTGATATTTGTAACTAATCATTTAAAGTAATTTCCTAAGTAGATTTTTGCAGTTTTTCCTTTTTCTTTTCTTTTAAATTCAGTCTCACTATAAGAAAAGCAATTTAAGTTTTTATTAAATTGCTTTATTCGTTTATTAGATTAGTGATACTAATACTTGAAAGTAGAATGCTTTTGTAGAGAGAAATGGGTGTTTTTAATGTGTAGTCATAGCATGTTTATGTGACCAGCTTGCCATATCTTCCCTAATTTATATCCATACTACTCACCAAACTTTACTTATGTGGAATCTGATATCAAAGAATTTGTACTTTTGAAGTCATCTGATATCAAAGAATTTCAAGAAAGCCAAATATCATTTGATATGTACTTTACCAACCCGAAATTAAACACAGCGCCATGATTAAGTACAGCAAACTAGGTTTTGTAAACGTGTAGCTATCTAATCTTCTGCATGTTTGTGTTCTGTGGTATGTGTTCTGCCTAATGCCTGTATATCTGTTTGCTTTCTATTTCTGCTATCTTGGGCTGGCTTTTCCCTCATTAGCTTTCTCCAAGCCCTACACCTGCCACTCAGAGTCCCAAGAAACCTCCAGCAAAGGACCCATTAGCGGATCTTAACATCAAGGATTTCTTGTAAACAATTTAAGGTATCTAATATTGAGCTTTTCCGGTGCACGTATAATAATCAGCTATATGATGCTTAGTTGTTACAGGTACAATATGTTTGTTTATGCACTGTAAGTAGATGCCTCTAATACGTTCAGTGTTTGTACTTTTGAAGTCATTAATAAACCCTAGTTTATTAAAACTAAGAAGGAGAGAAATGTCTAATGCGTCAAACTAAGACAACACATAAATTATACTGATAAAGCAACAAGTTGCCCTGTTGCTTGAACAAATTAGAAAATTACCATTTTATTACACGATTGCTGCTACCTACAGAAAGTTTGGGTTTATAGTATTTCCTTTAGAAATATTCTAACAATAGATTTGCCACATAACCACATTTTTGTTTTATCTTTATTTTGCCCTGTGAAGTTTAAATTATTACCCTTGTGTTTCTGCATTCAAGTTGAATTTTTAATTTCTAAGATTCTACTTTTAAATTTCTCATATAACTTATGAAGTGATCTCTAGTGAACTTCCAGAAGAAAATCAATGAAGGAAAAAAGTTTACTAGTAACCCCAACACCTAGAATGGTGGGTGGATGGTTAACAAATCAATACTGTAGATAAACAGAAATACCAATGTCTTCATTTTCACAGTACTTTTCATATCCACTTTCCAACAATTAGCTCCTTTGATCTTCTCAGTAGAAGATCAAGCCCTGTGGAATACACTGCCCAGCTACCTTGGTCTTCATTTCATAAGTAAGAAACTGACCCTGCAGGACTTAAACCACAAGAAGAGTATTCCAAGTGTTTTGATCACCGACCAGTGTTATTTTAATTAGATACCTAACAGTCTGCCTTTATTAGAAACTGTTTCCAAAGCCTAACAAGATTTCTGTTATCTGGTGTTCTTCTTACACGAGATTAATCATTTATGACTATAATGCCTTGGCATCTCAGGCAATAAAACTTCCATGTCCAACATGTCTGTCCCACTTTGGGTTGGACTGCACTGTGGAGGGCATCAGTGAAACATGGCAATGAGAGGCTCAGAAGTGGCTGCGGAAACTACATGGCGCATCTGTACTCGGGTACTATCACCCTCAGAGGATGCCAGGAGCTTTGCTAGAGATAATCTCTGCTCTGACACATTCTCAGTCAAGATGCAGACCAACACAAACCCTTTTATGATTTCAGACAAGGTGTCTCAGCCTTGAGACTCCATCCAGGAGGTGTTTCCCATCCCAGGTGAGTGGTAAACGATGAAGAAGCCAAGTAGGAAAATGAGGAGCGGCGTAAGAGGAGAAAGCATTGAGACACTAGTGAGATCTCCCTTCCGGTTTGTCACTTGTTAAACTGTTTAGGAAGTGACTCATTCAACAATCTAAGAGAATAGAGGTGGGAAATAAAACCACTTTCAAAGTTACCTTCTTAAGGCTGAATATCTTGCTATTATGACTTTTAATGATTACCCAAATTTCAGAACTCTACTGACACACATTTTGTCTATAAAATGATACATTAAAAGGTCTTCTTTAAAATTTTTGTTTTGTTTTTGTGTTCCTTGGCTTAAGTTTTAAGTTTGTTGTAAAGAATCAGGGGACGTCCATAAATGTGAGATTGTTAATACAGAGACCTTATGTATGAAGATTTTTCCAGAATAATCAAGAAGTAAGTTTGCAAAGCAAGTAAGGTGTTTGAGGAGTGGAGTTCTTAATGTTCTGTTTTCTAATTCAATTACTTTTTTATCTTTACAGCTGTGATTTTTTTTTTTTGACTGAACAGGAAAAAAATGAGTTTGGAGACTTCAAATAGGATTGATTCTCAGAGTTTCAAAGTGAGCCACCAGTACCAATCCCAACGCTTACTCATAACTTCTCTTCCAAAATGTCTAGCACAGCTGTGAAAGTGAACAGTAGGAATGTGTACTCCCTTAGCTGTGATCCCTACTTTGGACCTTATAGTGTATTTGGACCATTTGTGTGTTGTGCGATATAAACAATGAATGGATGTTTCTGATGCCTTTCGCGCTTTTCTGACCTCGCCTGTGTACGGATGATGCAGCTGTTGTGTGGTGAGCCATTTGGAAAGACGTGTCTGTGTTTTTGAAGGTTCGATGTATATATAACTTTTGGACAGAACCTAAACCCTTCCCATAAGTTCTCTTTTCTTCTGTATCTCTGTTCCAATCATAGTGTGATGATGTCAACTAGTAGGAAAAACAACAACAAACAACTCTTAAACATGCAAACTTTTTTGGTGTGGAGTACAATTTTCCAATCACAGGAACTTCAATTGTTGTGAGAAATGTTTATTTTTGTGGCACTGTATATGTTAAGAAATTTTATTTTAAAAAATATAAAGGTTAACGTCCATAATAAATACTTCTCCTTGAAGCTACCTTATCAAGAATGAGAAATCATATGGAAGAATTCCATATTTACCATTGCTGTATTGAAATATATATTTTAATTATATTGGACAGATTTTGCATCTAAATTGACCTATTTATTCATTCTTGATTAAATGCACTGTCAGTAAGAAAGCAATTAGAGATGTGCTACTTCAAGTGATTGTGAAGGCACCCTGAAGTACAAGTGTAATTTAAAATTTACTGCAAATATTTTTTATTTTATTGTGGGTTTTATGTACATCTGTTGATTTAGTATTTTTTTGTGCATTCTGTAGACTAGTATTCTTCCATTCCTCAACAGAGCTCAAAGTAGGTTTTGTTGTACCATTGTGATTAGGACTTAAACTAATTCAGAGAACTGTACCCTTTATTGTACATACTGTATTCTTTAATTTTTGATTCGTTGTCATACTGTCTGTGCTGATGGCTTGGCTTAAGATTTCGATGCATAAATGAGGTCACTGTTGATCAGTGTTGCTAGTGGCTTGGCAGCTCTTCGTAAAAGCATATTGGGTTGGAAAGGTGTTTGCCTATTTTTCAAATTATTTAATAGATGTATGGTACCCTTTAAAAGTGGTTGTATCTGAATTTACTGTGGGGATAACATACACTGTAATGGGGGAAAATTACCTAAAACCAATTTCAAAATGGCTTTTCTTTGTATTTTGGTTTAAGAACCCAGTGCATGTAAGCTCTCTGAGATGCAATAAACACCTTGAACAAAGAAAAC